GGGGGGGGGGGGTGGGTGGGCCGGAGCAGAGAGGAGGTGGGTCATGAGGTTTTGAGCCTTGTGCAAGGGGTGGGTCGTGCAATTTTCAGCTACCCTTAGGGGGTGGGTTACCCTATTTTATTGCATAGATAGGCACTAACTACTAACGAGACAGTTGACTACACTTGTTATATAAAACACAGCCAGCTGGAATTATTGCTAAAATACTCACAAACCTGTTGTGCGAGAAAATACAAAGGGTGAACAGGCCGCACATCTATACGGGCATGAAACCCTCTGTTAACCGTTTTTTTTTTTTTTGTTCTAACGAGCATGTCCTTTAATGATTTTCCTTTTTTGTAAGGAAATGGTTGGTGGCTCTTTAAAAATTTATTGAAGTTTAATAGTTGGTTTTTGTATAAGATTCCATTTTTTCATTCAAGCTTCCTTTATAGTAGACACCGAGGGCTGGTATTGTGTAAAAAAATGGCAATATTTCTTTTTCATCCTTGTTGTTTTGTTTTAGGAGTTTAGACTCCCTTTTGTGAATTTTATTTCTGATAGTGGGTTTTCTATCAAAGATTGTGGGTAGCCTCCGTCCATCAAGCGTTTTTTTTAAAATTTGAATTATCTTCCTCAAAGGTTGTTTCTGAGGAGTTTTTTTGTAGGATTCTCAAGGCTTCTCCTTTGACAAATCCTTTTTTAACATTAGGAGGGTGACACAAGGTGAAATGTGTGTGCAAGAAGGTTCCTGTTTGTTTAAAATGGGTCTTTGCATCAAGGAAAGATTTTTCCTTGAATCTTGTGCCTTAATTTGTATACAACCGTGTCTAAAAACGCAGTTTCAGTGTCAAATGTTTCGGCCGTGAATTCAATAGTTGGGTGATGTAAGTTTGCTTGTTTAATGGAGGCTTCAATTTCTGGTTTACTAATGTCCCATAGGGAAAAGATATCGTGTATGTAGCATTTCCAAACTGTTGTTCTAAAGACAGTTTTGCTTAGAGTCGTTGTTTCAATGTCATGAAAATATTGGCAAAGGAATCAAAACTGCTGTCTTTGTGCCCATTGCAGTTCCCTCAGGTTTTATAGGTAGTGCTTTCCATTAAAGTGGAAGAAATTTTCTTTGAGGATTAATCTAAGCATTTCCGGCAAGTAATATGTAGGAATGGGTTGTCTTTGTAGAAATTTTCATATGCTTTGCGACAGACAATTTCAATATACCCTTGTTTTGCTGTATATTTGTGTCAAGACTCATAACGTCCATCGAAACAAGAAATATGCGGTTTTTCACATTTGTCTTTTCAGTGAAAGGTATGATTTCTGTGATTTTGATGTTGGTTGTAGCAGTGTATCGACAAATTTTTCACGCACAGAACAAGGTTTTATTGGATTATTAAGAGGAAACCAAACATCCATGTTTTAACTAGGGGGTGGGTCATGCAATTTCCAACCTTGCTTTAGGGGTGGAGTCGTTATCAGAAGTATAGAGTCTTGTGATCTACTGAAAATAGTGTTCCGATTCCGCTTACGATTCGAATGGAGACTAGGTTATCTTTCGCTTCTGCTTCCAACTTAGACTACGAACTGCCTCTTTTTTTAATCTGCCGAGCGAAAAACAAAAGCCACCTTTGTTTCTCGCGCACGAACACTCCCCTCACTAAATCGGAAGAAAAAGAGAGACTTTTCGCAGTCTACTTCAATCTCCGATAATTTGACGGAGGCGGAAGAGATTGAAAACTTTTCCGAAGAATCTTCGCGCTTGCGACTTAGTTTATGACTCTGAATTTTAAGTTTCACTAGTTCCCAAGCTTTCCTACGACTCCGTTGCCAGTGGAAACTATCCTGAAAACGTTTTTCTAAAGTTTTGTCATCACAAGTTACTGGTAAAATTGCTTTCAAAGTGGTCATTTGAGTTTCGGAACTCACGTGATTTTAAGGTTAACAAAATGAGGACTGTTAAAAAAGGTAACAGTTTTTTTTCAACCTATTTCATCCTATTTTATTTTGCAGTCTCTACAGAAACTCTTGAAAGGGAATCGAGGAACGCCTCCCTTCTGGGTTTATCGGCCATTGAAAATAATAATACAGGGGCGGCAGAACACAAAAGGAGCAAACCTGCATCAAAGAAGGAAAACTTTCAAAACTGGCTGTCAGAAGATTCATCAAACAACATTTTTAAAGACGAACCCAATCAATGCGCAAATCAATAATTAGCCTACAGTTCGGTAACAGTGTATATTGCAGTGGTTGCAATCTATCTGTTTCAAATTTAAGTTTAAAAGTGGATTAAGTGTTTGCCAGAGCTCTGTTGCGATAGGAAACCTCAAAATATTAGTTTGGTAGAATACAAAGCACCAATGGTCAGTACCAATATTAAGGCCGGTTTAAAAATTCCGGCTAATCCTAAATTAATACAAATCGGCTTTCACTTTGGTTTCCAGGGTTCAATTCTTCGCAAAGTTCACTTACACCCATTCCTTTACTTACATTGTTTATATTTGTTTGTTTTCTGCAAACTAGTTTACAAATACTTGTTGGGAAACTCTAACATTTGTATGTTCTGTTTTCCCAATCGAGGTCCCAGGTGAACTACCCTTTGTCTTTTCATAAATTACCCTAAAATTCCGAATATAAGCCCCGGGACTTACATTTTTCAAAGGCCCTTTTTTGAGGGGCTTATTTTTGGAGGGGCTTATCTACGGAGGGAAATTTGCGTTTCAAAATCGATTGGCCTATCTTGTAGTGGTTTTTTGCGTTACGACTTTGGGGGGCTTATATTTGGAGGGGCTTATACATGGAAGGGCTTATTTTCGGAATTTTAACGGTATGCGTACATATGCACGAGAGTAAGACGAAATTTGAAAGAAACAGTTCTCAAGAGTATTATCACATGACCTGTTTTGGGAAAACAAAACATACAAGCTAAAAGGTCCATTTTTGCCCTCAGCGTACTGCCTGTGATCTCTAAAAGTCCTGGCGGCCATGCGATTTCATTCCAAATAAAACCTTGAGTTGCATTTGGGTTGCCATACCTTTTGATTGAGTTTTTTATATTAGTGTACCTGTGGCGCGGACGGGCGGTCGGGCGTACGTACGGTCACGGGACTACCAAAATTTCTCGGATGCATAGGTTACAAAATTTTCTTACCCATGGTGCTTCGCTTCGAGCGCACGAGAGCTCTGCTAAAAATGAGAACATTCCTATGTGAGGAAAGCGTATTGTCGTATAACAAAAGAAAATGCTTTCCACCTTACCCGGATCATTACTTAAACAAGGCGCTTTTTTATAATATATTAATAATAAATACAACTGCATCGCAGAAACCTTAGTATGCATTTTAGCTATTTTCCAACATCCCGCGTAATGTTACGGACTATAATACTATAATAACAAGGACTTATTAAACTTTTGAGCACAACAATTTCAAATAGCCTGCAATGTTATCACATGTTACATTAAGGTGAAGCTTAAAGTCTTGCGCTTTCATACTACACCTTTATCATGAGATAGGCCTCTGGCAAAGAATAACAGGGCAATATATAGGTAGATCATTGTAGCATCCACAGGGGTAGTCATTCCACCTTCCTGCTTTCTTGGTATTGTTGACCACAAACATATTGACGCATTCCTCTTTACCCTTATGATTGTCAGGTTGCCCGTCAAACCAATTTTCATACTCCCTTTCCAATGGAGTACCATCAATCCAACGAAACTTGGTTCCGCTAACCGTATCTCGCTCTAAGCCAAGCCACGCACCAAATGCTGTAACTGTATCACTATTTCTCATAAGTTCAAATACGAATTTGTTTTCTGCCGCTGATTTGATTATTGGGAGGTCTCCACCAATTGTCTGGCATGCCTTGCGCGCGTCCGCCTGGATCCGTTGTATTGTACTGTTTAGATAATAACACGAGTCACCATGTGTAGACCAGCCAGCTGGACATCCTATGCGACAAAAACCAAGGAATATTAACGAAATTGCCCTATGTAAAGTGATCCAAGACAGTCTTGGATTCTGGATTCCACGTTATGAGCTCTTGATCTCCGGACTCCTTGTTTGCTAAACTTTCGGATTGATCTGAATTCCGGATTCCACAATCATAAAATTCCCGGATTCCGGAATCCACAACCGAAAATTACCCAGTTCCGTAATCCGGAACGTCTGAAATGTCAGTGGTCTCCTCCCCATAACTCGTGGGGAGGAGACGACTAACATTTCAGACGATAATCCGGATTTCCTTTATACAGGAGGCGAAAGGACTGTAGCAAGCTACCTTTACTGGTTACGTAATACAGGGGTGCGGGAAGCAACCAACAAATCCTGCAGCCTGGTCCGTTTATCCCCCGAATGGTTGTTGAAGAACTTAACAAACACGTACTAAAGATTATCTTTAGTTCGATTTTAAGACCTAAACCATGCTGACCGTCAAAAACTGTTAGGTTCCTCCACACAACACTAACGTTTCTACTTCCGTTCAGTCTACACGAACGAATATAAATATCCCGTATCTAAGAGAAGGCGTTACACTGACTTCACGATTCTGAGCCACAAAAATATAACTGTTTGTAAATAACAGACCTCTTAGCAAGCATTTCTGTGAACGCTAAGGAGAAACTTTGGCCAAGGGAAGCATAAGGTAGAGCAACAACACCACCTGGCTTATTGTGCAGACATATTTTGATGTATTTGTGCCTGGGGGATGTGGCAACCACATTCGGTATTAAAGGCCATATAAGGAAGCGCCTCCAACGGGTCGACCCGGGAGGTCGAGAATAAATATTAGAAGTGAAATCAGCATGAAATGCTTAAAGTAAGTACATCAATACTCAGTCTTTTATAAAATAATTAAACAGAAATCAATTTGCACAAAAACTAGGTAAAGGCTCACCTGGTTTCACTTCACATCTTTGTCCACTCCATGGCGGTTTACAAGAGCATGCAAACGTTTCCTTTATCTTGTCTAACACACACGAACCTCCATTTAGGCAACCAGTCATCAGACAACCCTATCAGTAAGACCCGTTTTATTAAAATTAGAAACTTGCTTCCTTGAATCCTTTTCAGAGAAGATATTTTTAATCTTGTTTTCCAAGAAATTGTCTACTATCGTCAAACAGGGACTTAACATGCTGAGAAGTTCCCGCAATTTAATTCAACTTCAATCGTTAGTAGTCTTACGCTGCAGCCATTCAGCATAATAATAATAATAATAATCACATTTCCCATTAATAAACAACTACTCGGGAGACTGAGTCACTTCAATCTTTGATGTGGCAAAACTCATCGCGGTAAAAGCCAGTCGCTCGAGCGATTGTTACAATTCATGGTTAGGGAGATCGTTTTAACTTGATTATACCTTTACACTATATAACAGTATCTTTATTTCGTAACTAACCGGATTTGCAAAAAGTACATCTTCTACAAAACATTGCCAGAGTTACAATTTAATTGCAATTATTCGTGAACAAATGAGAATCCTGAGTACATTTTCGTGTGGTAATTAACAAGCTCTTGAGACGAAGAAGCACAGCACCGAAACGGGGGGAAACCTGACGGTTTTCGTAGAAATCTTATTAACCCAAACGTTAAATCAAACTTTTGTACAAGCTTTAATTTGTGTTTCAATTGTATAACAAATTATTGACGGCTTGTAAATCTAACTGTTTTCCTTTCCTTTTAGTGAAATACGCCCACTGAAAAATGCTCAATTTTTAAGGAATTTCTTGCACAGTATTGCGCCAATTGACTATTTTCCAATTCCCCATAATACACTCTGTATGCCCCCCAAATTTTCGTATTGAATAACAGAATTTTACGAGAACCCTTTTACGTTATGAGGGTCCTCGTAAATTTTTGTTACCAAATACGTTTTAAACCCCCCGTTTGTCTCACATAATACCCCTTAACCAAAATAGAGAATGAAATGCTGCATTTACTCACCTTAAGAATCATTGTAAATGTGTTGCCTGGCTGATGATGAATGATCTTGTTGTTATTGTCAGCTGAGTTTGAGTCATGCTTAATCAACTCACACACTCCTTCGCCACCTGTCCCGTACTTAAAATTTGTAGAGAAACACCAGGGATTTTTAAGACATGCTTGACTGCAAGACAAAATACTCTCGGAATAAACTCTCTTAGCCATTTGTGCTGCTAAGCGCCTATTTTCCGCATTTATGAAGTAGGAAGATCTGATATTTTCGTCATCAGCGAAAACACTGGCGGAGATGCAGCAAAAAATAAGTAACGAAATCATTTCGCCTACTACAATTATGAAAGCTTCGTTTACTTACAGAGCATGCCCAAGGGGAAGCTTGTTTAAAGGAGGCATTGTAAATATTGATAGAATTTGATATTAATTAAGTAAAAAAATATTAATAGGAGTTGTATTGGCATATTTAGTCTACTTTTATTTTGCTGATAAATTCATTTATTTTCATCTATTCATTCATTTATTTGTTTACACAACTAGAACTAATTTTAATATCCTCTGCTTACAAATGCCTAAGCTAATCGAGGCGGGCATGTAGAAGAAAAGGAACACATTTACTGGAAAGAAAAACGAAACCTAGAAAAACAAAACTATAAACGATAAAAGACTATACAATAAATAAAAAAATCATAAAACAAGTTACAAGATAACGAGCTAAATATGCGGATGTCTATCAAGGGTGGAATTCAGTTGGTTACGATTGTTATAAGTGAGGTAAACAATCGATACCTACGGAGAATCCAGAACAGTAGGGGGTGTTCTAAGCATGAACAGGTGTTAAAAAACGCTTTGTTTAGTTTGACAACCTAACAGAGCAAAGTTCATTCGGTAGATATGAAATACACAGGCCTGATATGTCTGTAGGTGCTAACCATTCTCACCGGGGAAACTGGAAATTTTTTGATTGAAAAGTCAGATGGCTTCTGTAAATAGTGAGCGAGTTGTAATGATTTTTTTTTTATGAGGCAACAATAAATTGCGGGTTTGATCATTATGTAACTTTCTGTTAAACATATTTTCACGCACTCTTGCTCTGCTATTAATTTAATGCACAGAAGTCCAAACATTCAGCGTCATACTCTCCCAAAATATTTGCATAACGGTTTTATAATTTAACATTTCAGTTAAATATCATGCAAACTTGTGAAGCTATTTTAGCTTGACTTTATCTCAAAATGGGTCAAAATTCATGTAGCATTCACATGTTTGATGGATTTTGGATGAAGACTGATATTAGGTTTAAATTGTGGCTTTAATACGTGAGCAAATTTTAAAAAAATCGTAAGGCCAAAGTCAAATAATTGACAAGTCTATTTGGTAAAACAAACAGTCTAGAACAAGTTGCTTTTCATAATGATATTGTTAGAAATCATGCTGAAATAAAATTCTCCGCTCCTTTTTGTGGCAACATCCAGTTTTACAGTAAGAACTTAGAAATCTCACGNTAAATTGTGGCTTTAATACGTGAGCAAATTTTAAAAAAATCGTAAGGCCAAAGTCAAATAATTGACAAGTCTATTTGGTAAAACAAACAGTCTAGAACAAGTTGCTTTTCATAATGATATTGTTAGAAATCATGCTGAAATAAAATTCTCCGCTCCTTTTTGTGGCAACATCCAGTTTTACAGTAAGAACTTAGAAATCTCACGCGTTGATAGCTTGAAAGCTACTATTGTGCCGTCGAGGGTAATAGGCCATTTTACAGTTGTGTATGGAAGCGAGGCTGAGGGTGACCTTGTTTTGATACAAACCCTCGTGCTTTGTTATGTAAATCAAGTTATTCTTATGCTAACCAGTATTTTTCAAGAACAATTGCCATAACAAAGCAAAGAAGGTTTGTATCAAAACAAGGTCACCCTCAGCCTCGCTTCCATCCATAACTGTAAAATGGCCTATTGTCCAGCATATTGTCTATGATAATTTATACAATTAAAGTACAGTCGAACCTCTCTAATACGGACACCGTAGGGACAGGGCAAAGTGTCCGTATTAGAGAGGTGTCCGTATTTAAGAGGTTACTGCGATGACGTCACTTTTATGAGTCCACTTACAGTTTTAAGTGGTCAGTAGCTAAAACCTGGCTTACACTCGTCTTGAAAATGCACTTAAATTTATTAATTCACCGTACAAAGGCACTGTCTTTCTAGCATACAGCATTGTACAACTCAGCTACAAAGTAAGTACAGTCGTACAAAGTAAGTACAGTGGGACAAATCATCGTTTTAAAACAAATCGAACTACAGCGTAATGCTTCAAGTAAAAAGTTGTAACGTAAAGCACAATTCTGAAAGCGTCTTTCGATATTTTGCAAGCGCAGTAAACAGTTACTAGAGGACAAAGTGTAAGAGAAAAGATCTTTATTCTATCTGTAGTTATTCAAGCCTTAGAAAAGTCGGTTATGTTCCTCTGTACACCTTTCGCAAATAGATGTTTGATATACAGCGACTGGGCTTTGAAATCACCTTGCATAGCTCATCAGCCAGACCGGATTCACGCTGTGCAGATCCACTTGATCGGGAATCGGGATTTGCCTGATCACCGCAGTGTTCGTAAAAGAGGTTAAGTTTTTATGAATTTACTCTCTGGGGCCGAGATTTAGTGTCCGTTGTCCGTACTAGAGAGAGTCCGTATTATAGAGGGTTTTTTTTTTAAAGAAAATATATGAGAATTTTGTCGGGACATTAGAAACTGTCCGTAATATAGAGGTGTCCGTACCGAGAAGTTCGACGCGTGGTTTGACTGTTGTCTAAGATCGATCAGAGTACACTAACAGACTTGCTACTGGAGTTTTTAGCGTAAAAGAAAGAGCTGGCATTAAAGGGTTGGCAGTGTGCATGTTATTCAGTTATTGAATTCCACTACTCAAGGGAACAACATCCAATTTTAAAATTTCTTGATCTGTACTAACAATGTTGTTCGGTAGTTACAGATCACTGGAACAAGTCTTCTTGTACGTAACAGTTTCGCCTTGTGGTGGAATTCTCCTACCATTCTCATTAAAGTTTTTATTTTTAGACCATGCAAACCATGTGAAAATGTCTTTATCTCTGATATCTGACAAAATGTAGGTAAACTTCCCTTTGAGTTGAATCTTAGGGACCATGAGCAAGTTTAGAAAGAGAAAGAAAACTTCGTCTTTGCAGGCGCGGATCCATACCGTTTTTCACCGTTCTACGGAAATCGGTCAGAGTTTTCATAGTAAATATATTTTTATTAAAAAAAATAAACCTTTAACTTTTGTCAGTGGTTTGACCATCTGCTCATGCGCAGAGTGCTACTGTAGCAAATCAAAAATGGCTTACAAGAGGGTAAAATCCATTGGAAAATTAAGAGTCTGTGACTGTCATAAGTGGTTGCGGTCGCGGCGGTCGCTTTAGAGTCACTGGTTGTAAACGAATTAAAGGTTCTAACCATTGGTCTATGACTGGGGAAGTTTTCGTGTTTTGCATAGGTGGTCGCTTAAGAGAGACTTGTGGTCGCACATGAAGGTCACGTCCGACTGCGTCTTCAGACTTAATGTTGTTAAACCTCCTATACGCATGCGCATTTCGCATCAAAAGCGTAACAAAAGAACTGTCCATATAGCCGAGTAATGTGTTATTTTAACCCTTTTTTGGAAGATACTTCTATATCAGCACAACACTACACTTGGTAGCAGTGTCTTATAATCGATATCAAGCGATAGTCATGTCTCCTGGTCTTTAACCTTCGATGGCACCATTACAAAAATTCAGAGTAGTGTCAACAGCTTTCATCTGTAAATGAACATGTAACCGGATTTATTATGTAAACATTGATTTACGTCATCAGTATGGAGTTTCTGTCGCTGAGTTGCAGACGTTCCTCATCGCGAAACGTCCCTCAGCGGCGATGAGCGAGAAGAAACGTCCGCCGTTCGCAGGCTACACCGAAATCAGCACAAAAGCATTTCATTCACAAGCTTCTGCCGCCCATGGAAAATACAGTTTCAGTCTTATTTGGGAGAACTATTCAAAACATATTTACATTACCAATGCTAATCTTTATTTTTTTTAATTTTTTTTTTCAAATTGATTACATATTGTATAAATACATAGATTGATAACTCCCTCCCACAATACATATCACTGACACACACACACACACACACACCTACACACACCCACACACACAGCTGTTGCCTATTTTATTAATGTTTTTTGTCGTTTTGTTGCTCTCTCAAATTAAAATAGTTTTCCAGCCAATATTTAATCTTTGTCATCGATGAAATTCGTGCATCATAGAAACAAAGAGAGAAACAAATATTCAGAAGTGAACCCCAAAATAGGGCAGCGCAATGATGAATTTTCCAGATATTAGTTACTTTACAATTTTCCTCAAATAAAAAGAATTTCAATAAAACAAAACATGACTGGTCATGACCTGAAATTTGCACCCATTAATAAAACTGCAGAAAAAGTAATCAAGTATAAAATAGATAGAAATGAGGCATATATCACAAACACCTAATTCCCAAGGACGATAAGGCGCTTTTAGCTTCTATAGCCTAGTCCGTGCAGATATCTTGGGAAATTTGAGGCTATTGCGCGCATCAGATGGTTTGAAGTAATTAAATGCTTTGTTTTATTTTCTTTGAAAAATGTTTTTTACCAAGTCACACCGAGGTGAAAATACTGTATTTTTCTCCGGAAAAAAAATTGAAAAAAAAAAAACGAAACAAGGCTTTAGGAAATTTTAGATAATTTTACATATGTTACATTCTCATGATATCTTTTATAAGTTACAGTTATTCCAATCTTTGGAAACAAAAAAAATGACGATTTCTTTCAAAGTTACTGTCTGCGTTTTTGTTACTGTTTATAAAGACCGTATTTCCGTCCATCAAGTGAAAGAAAAGATATTGCATATATTGTCCAAGAAAAACTTTAATGATATTCAAGTCCGCAGTAAAAGTACATAAATTGAACCTGATTTAAGGCTACTTTACTCTCGCGTTCAAGCAAATTACTTTACTTACCGGCGATTTCAGCCATGGGCTTACCACAAGTGATAGCAGCGTTCCACGCAATGTACGACATTATCGGTCTTCCTGGTAATCTATTGGTCGTAGTGGCTGTCATCTTGGAATCAAGATTTCAACACTACGCTATACAAAATGACCGGTCAGAGCGAAATAGTCTGAAAGACGACAACTAGGAACAATTGAGTAAGGCGTAGTTTTCGTATCGCGTTCTTGTAACCAACATAGGCCAAACAATGTGTTATCTCACCCCATACTTTGTGAGATACTTCTACATCAACACGGTTCTTCACTTGGTCGCAGTTTCTTATCATAAATACCTAGCGATCGTCAAGTCGCCTTTGACGTACGATGGCACCATTACAAAAACCAGAGTGGCGTTTATAGCTCTCATCTGGATAATCCCGGTGATTCCAATTTCTATCGGTCCGTTCTTCCTAGGTTGGGGAAAGTACACTTACCACCCAGAGTTGATCATCTGCGAGCAGGGATGGGCTCTCGACCTGCAGGGCAGTAAAATCAAGATTTATGAAAGCATGATCGTTGCACCTATCGCGTTTATTATAATGCCATTCCTGGTCATTTTGTTCCTAAACGTGTCTGTATACAAGGCAGCGAGTCGGCAGATAAACGCCATGGTAGTCCAAGTTGGTGGCCCTGTTGATGCTGAAATCACTCAACAGCAAGAAATGTTATCGAGAAGACTAAGAGATCGCAAGGCCGCTGTCGATGTCACTATTATCATTGCTGCGTTTTTGGTGTGCTTTATTCCTTTCTGGGTTACAGGTATTTGTCGCCTGTTCGTCCCAGGAATCGATGTTCCAGCCGAGGTCGATCTTGCCACAACGTGTATTTTCTTCCTCAGCACAATATGCAACCCGATTATCTATTCCATCCGTAAAAGAGAATTCCGTAGTGCGGTGAAAAAAATGTTCCGACAGATTGGACTTTGTCAAGATTCTAACGAGAACGACATCGTTTAAGAGAAGTGGCCACAAAGTCAGCTCAAAAGTCGTCGGTCCATGCAGCAGCACTGCCTGGCCACCAAAGATAACTGGGGACGATGCATATGCAGTACAGCTGACTCTCTCTAACTCAAGCATCGCGCTAGCAAGAACCAAGGCCAATTCCCTTTGTTTTCCTTCATACATTTACAGTTGACTCCCACTAACTCGAACCTTGACTAACTCGAACCTCGCGCTAACTCGAACCAAAGTCGATTTGCTTCATACATTTACGGTAATTTTATCCTCGGTAACTTGAACCCTCGATAACTCGAACCTCTAAATCGAAGTATTTTTTATTTCCCTTTAGTCATTTCTATATAATTTCGATATCTCGAACCAGGCTTTAAGCAAGTAACAAGTCGGAAAAAAAATAGTGTATTGAAGTCCAAAATATTGAATTTTTTTAAAACAGCCATTTCATATGTAGATTTAGGAATTCCAAGCAGCATTTAATTTCTCGAAGTAATGTTAATTTCCCTTTAGTCATTTCTATATAATTTTACCCTCGATATCTCGAACCATGTTTTAAGCACGTGACAAGTCGGAAAAAAAAGACGGTGTATTGAAGTCCAAAATATTGAAGCCATTTTCTATGTAGATTTAGGAATTCCAAGCAGTATTTAATTTCTCTGTTGGAGTCTCTAACCGGCTCAAAAAATATAGTTTTCACGGTTTACATAATTACGACAAGTCTTAGTTGGAAAGAACTGTAAAATGAATGAGAAAAGCTACATAGGAGATTAAATTTGCAAACCACATATAAACTAAAACGCTGCATATGCCGAGACCTATTTGATTACAAAAAATTTTGAGGTTGTTTTGAATTTAGTTTCGAACGAATAGAAGTCTAACTTTTCGTACGTTTAAGGTGCTTCCGTGTGAACGAAACACCTGGAAACGTTTAAATTTTCAACCTTTCGAAAATTTGTATCGTGCGGTGTGAGCGTAGCCAAAATCTATTTATTTAATAGTAATAATAATAATAATAATAATAATATATAATAATAATAATAATAATGATAATAATAATTAATACGCCTGGATTGTAGGCTACCATAATATGCAATTTAGCTACCTTCCGCTTAATGATACGCTATAGTGGAGCCCGGTTAATACGGGCATGCACCAGGGGACATGCCAAAGTGTGCATGATCCGGTTGTCCGTATTAAGTGGTCTCTCAGAAAAAGCATTACCACTAGCAACCTCATGCATGTTAAGGCATGGCTCAACTTGTGGTCTCGACCACTCGCGAAGATAAAGCAGTTTTTTCTTCTACAGCCATGCATTTTAATTCTAAAAGTCGGTAAAATCTTCCGGAAAGCTTTCTTTCGAGGCGTTGAATTGATTAGGGTTGAACTGATCTGGTCACATGAAACGTGACGTCATAATGATATTCCAAAAAGATTCTAAGGTTGATTACAGCTAAGTCGGAAAAATGTGTACGTGGTTGTTTTACTGTGCGAAATTTTTCCGTGGCAAGAAGGGAGATACAGTAAAAACCCACGAGTAAGAACCAAAGATTTAAGAACCTGTTGGGCTAAAGTTTGCAATTTATAGACCCCCTCTAGATAAAAACCTCTTTAGCCTAAAATTTGGAGAAAGGTTATTATTTTAAAAAATCATTTAAAATTATTTACTAATTGCAATTGCAAAAGGCAAGTTAGTACATAATTATATAAATGTTGTTCGATTGAGGTCTTTCAGAAAATGTTGATAATATTGTGTTTTACAGCACAATCATGTATATAAAGTTGTTTTGACTCAAGAAATTAAAATTCATGTGAGAATAGATCTCTATTATGGTCATATTAAAATGAGCAACATTAGGTATGCAAATTTAAGGGTACTGATCACTAAAATCTTCTTAGCAACGACATAACTTTTTTGCAAGAAATTAAGAACCTACTAAGAACCTAGATAGCCTAAATTTATGTTAACCACCATTATGTAAGAACCTGTTTAGGCTAACCCTGGAAAATGTGTGTTCTTACTCGTGGGTTTTTACTGTAATTTTTTTAATTTATCCGATGAAAAGACGTTCACAGATGATAGGGTCATGTGTCTTAATCTTATTTTGCTTAATCATTAATTAAATAAAAATGCAAATCAACCATTCCGGTCAGATTCATGCGAGGAACAATGATACAATAACAAAAATACTTCGTTTATTATTTGCTGTGTGACATCACTTTTAGTTTTCTCTTCTTTCCTTGACTTTACTATAACTGGTTACGTGACACAAATATCTGGTTTCTTACGAAACACGCAAATTAAGCTTACTGGTTTTTTTGACGTTGCTTAATTTTAGAACGTTCTGGTAAATTTTCACAAACTTATGATCACTATAAGATTTTGTATAAGCTCAGCTCATGCCTCAACATGCTTTAGAGGGACACATTTTTTATCTATCTAGCTAAAGATATAAAGGAGCAGTAACTGAAGTAAAAAACCAATGAAGTGAAACTTGTGTATTAGGAGGCAAAAAACTTTATTAAAGGACCACAGTATATGGTTCAAACACCGGAAGAAAGACGTACTAACCCGTAGAAATCTTTCGTTACTTAAAAAGGATACAATGTTTACAATTAGCACATAATGAAATTAGACAACGCCCAGATAACCAGTGTCCGAAAGCGGGTTTGAAGATATATGGAAGGTTGTGACTCAAGACCCAAAAAAGTATCCGTAATCCGTACTAACCAGTGTCCGTACAAAGCGGCTTAATTTTATAGATACATATTAGCATTTCGTTGAAATAAACAAAACTGTCCGCTACATACGCGGGTTTCCGTATTAAAAGGATCTCCGCAGAGCCGGCTTCAACTTAGTCTCCTTCGCAGCCGTTATTAGGGTCGTCACTCGTCACGCAACGCTCCTCCCCACTAACGGCCGTTAGTGGGGAGGAGCGTTGCGTGACGAGTGACGACCCTAATAACGGCTGCGAAGGAGACTAGCTTCAACTGTGTGATAACAACACCGATTGAACATTTGATTACATGAATTTCTAGCAAGCGGACTTTATCTTGAGGTTTTGCACTCTGACACTATACCTTTATCTCCATTTTTATTGGCTCTTAGCAGTGTGATTTATTCATCAATTACATTATTTTTTGCTCTTAATATCATAGGTGACGAATTACTCCTTAATTTTGGCGCTAAATTTCAGCGTTAATTTGTAATTTCACATGTTAAAATTACAAAATTGCCATGACAACCCTTCTGTACGTCTCAGTGTCAAGATAGCGACGAAGTTTTAAAATGCCGTGAATGAAGATGTCAGGGCACAAAAAGACGCTTTAGAAATCTGAACACACAAGAGAACATCAAAAAGGATTCTAACAGGTATTTTGCCGAAAAAGTCTGAAAAATTCTGAATTTTTAAGCCAAATTTAAAGTCTAAACATTTTAGAGAGTGGAGTTCTCGATCGAACATCCAAGATTGCTAACGTAATTCGTCACCCATGATATTAATAGGTAACCAAATGGTATACTCGTGAAATTCGGGAATAATTTCACTTGCGTTTTGTCCAAATCCTAATAATTTCTCTCGCCTACAGGCTCGGGAAATTATCAGGATTTGATTACACATACAAATCGCTTACTTGGCCCGTTAATTATCGGTACTTTTCGAGAAACGGGCCCCTGGTCTTTAACCGTCGACGGCACCATTACAAAAATTCGGAGTGGCGTCAACAGCTTTCATCTGTAAATGAACATGAAACCGGATTTATTATGTAAACATTGATTTATGTCATCAGTATGGAGTTTCTGTAGCTGAGTCGCAGACATTCCTCCTCGCGAAACGTCCCTCAGCGGCGATGAGCGAGAAGAAACGTCTGCCGTTCGCAGGCCGCTACCGAAATCAGCACAAAAGCATTTCATTCACAAGCTCCTGCCGCCCATGGAAAATGCAGGTTGAGTCTTATTTGGGAGAACTATTCAAAAACATATCTACATTACACTATGCTAATCTTTATTATCATTACTTTATTTTATTATTTCAAATTGATTACATATTATATAGATGCATAGATTGATAACTCCCTCCCCCAATACACACCACTGACGCACCGACACACACAGCTGTTGCCTATGTCATTGATGTTTTTTGTCGTTTTGTTGTTCACTCAAATTAAAATAGTTTTCCAGCCTATATTTAATCTTTGTCATCGATGAAATTCGCGCATCATAGAAACATACAGAGAAACAATATTCACAAGCGAACCTCAAAATAGGGCAGCGCAATGATGAATTTTCCAGATCTTAGTTACTTTACAATTTTCCTCAAATAAAAAGAATTTCAATAGAACAAAACATGACTGGTCATGACCTAAAATTTGCACCCAAATAAAACTGCAGAAAAAGTAATCAAGTATAAAATAGATAGAAATGAGGCATATATCACAAACACCCAGGATTCCCTAGGACGATAAGGCGCTTTTAGCTTCTATAGCCTAGTCCGTGCAGATATATCGGGAAATGTGCGGCTATTGCACGCATCAGATGGTTTGAAGTAATTAAATGCTTTGTTTTATTTTCTTTGAAAAATGTTTTTTACCTAAGTCACATCGAATTGAAAATACTGTATTTTTCTCAGGAAAAAAAATGGAAAAGAAACGAAACAAGGCTTTAGGAAATTTTAGATAATTTTACATATGTTACATTCTCATGATATCTTTTATAAGTTATAGTTATTACAATCTTTGGAATATATTGCGTATATTGTCCAAGAAAAACTTTAATGATATTCAAGTCCGCGGTAAAAGTACATAAATTGAACCTCATTTAAGGCTACTTTACTCTCGCGTTCAAGCAAAGTACTTTACTTACCGGCGATTTCAGCCATGGGTTTCCCACAAGTGATAGCAGCGTTCCACGCAACGTACGACATGATCGGTCTTCCTGGTAATATATTGGTCATAGTGGTGATCATCTTGGAATCAAGATTTCATGTGATGCGATATATTTTACTGGCCAGTCTCGCTTTATCAGACTTTCTGCTGTTGATCCTCGTTAACTCATTCCGCATCAAAAGCATAGCGCAAGAACGTTGGTTGTATGGCCAAACAATGTGTTATCTCAACCCATTCTTTGTGAGATACTTCTACACCAACACGGTTCTTCACTTGGTGGCAGTGTCTTATAATAGATACCTAGCGATCGTCAAGTCGCCTTTGACGTACGATGGTGCCATTACAAAAACCAGAGTGGTTTTTATAGCTCTCATCTGGATAATCCCGGTGATTCCAATTTCTATCGGTCTGTTCCAAGGTTGGGGAAAGTACGCTTACAACCCAGAGTTGATCATCTGCGAGCAGGGAAGGGCTATCGATCGGCAGAACGGTAGCATCATGATGAGCGAAAACATGATCGTTGTACCTATCGCCACTATTATAATGCCATTCCTGGTCATCTTGGTCCTAAATGTGTCTGTATACAAGACAGCTAATCGGCAGATAAACGCCATGGTAGTCCAGGTTAATGGCCCTGTTGATGCTGAAATCACTCAACAGCAAGAGATGGTATCGAGACAACTAAGAGATCGCAAGGCCGCTGTCGATGTCACTATTATCATTGCCGCGTTTTTGGTGTGCTTTCTTCCCTTCTGGGTTACAGGCATTTGTCGCCTGTTCGTCCCAGGAATTGATGTTCCAGCCGAGGCAGATCTTGCCACTGCATGTATTTTCTTCTTCAGCACAATATGCAACCCGATTATCTATTCCATCCGTAAAAGAGAATTCCGTAGTGCGGTGAAGAAAATGTTCCGGCGGATTGGAGTTTGTCAAGATTCTAACCAGAACGACATCGTTTAAGAGTAGTGGCCACAAAGTCAGCTCAAAAGTCGTCGATCCATGCAGCAGCACTGGCCATCCAAGATAATTGGGGACGATGCATATGCAGTACAGCTGACTCCCTCTCACTCAAGCATCACGCTAGCAAGAACCAAAGTCGACTTCCCCTTGTTTTCCTGGATACATTTACAGTTGATTCCCACTAACTCGAACCTTGGCTAACTCGAACCTCACGCTAATTTAACTCAAACCAAAGTCGATTTCCCGTGGATTTCCTTCATACATTTACGGTAATTGTATCCTCGGTAATTCGAACCCTCGATAACTCGAACCTCTAACTCGAAGTAATTTTTATTTCCCTTTAGTCATTTCTATATAATTTTACCCTCGATATCTCGAACCATGTTTTAAGCACGTGACAAGTTGGAAAAAGACACTGTATTGAAGTCCAAAATATTTAAGCCATTTTCTATGTAAATTTAGGAATTCCAAGCAGCATTTGATTTCTCTAGTGGAGCCTCTAACCGGCTCAAAAAATGCAGTTTTCACGGTTTACATAATTACGACAAGTCTTAGTTAGAAAGAACTGAAAAATGAATGAGAAAAGCTAAATATATGCATATGCCGAGACCTATTTGATTTCAAATAATTTTGAGGTTGTTTTGAATTTGATGCAGTCTAGAAACTTAGTTTCGAACGAATAGAAGTCTCACTTTTCGTACGTTTAAGGTGCTTCCGTGTGAACGAAACACCTGCAAACGTTCGAATTTTCAACCTTTCCAAAGTTTGTCTCGTGCCGTGTGAACGTAGCCAAATCTATTGATTTAATAGTAATAATAATAATAATAATAATAATAATAATAATAATAATAATAATATATAATAGTAATAATAATAATAATAATAATGATAATAATAATAATTAATACCCTGGATTGTATGATACCTTAGTATGCAATTTAACTACCTTCCGCTTAATGATACACTGTAGTGGAGCCCTGTTAATACGGACATGCACCAAGAGACATGCCAAAGTGTGCATGATCCGAGTGTCCGTATTAACTGGACTCTCAGAAAAAGCATTACCACTAGCAACCTCATGCATGTTAAGGCATGGCTCAACTTGTGGTCTCGACCACTCGCGAAGATAAAGCAGTTTTTCTTCTACAGCCATGCATTTCAATTCTAAAAGTCGGTAAAATCTTCCGGAAAGCTCTCTTTCGAGGTGTTGAATTTTTACGTGACACAAATATCTTGTTTCTTACGAAACAGGAAATTTAAGGGTACTGATGTTTTTGAGGTTGCTTAATTTTAGAACGTTCTGGTAAATTTTCACAAACTTACTGGATCATTATAAGATTTTATACAAATTAAGGTCAACTCATGCCTCAACATGCTTTACAGGGACACATTTTTTATCTATCTAGCTAAAGATAGCTAAAGATTTCAAAACGAACTTGCGCCGCGCGCTCGTCCAATTGCAAGAATCGAAGTTGAATCAACAGTATTTATCATGGCCGTAAAGGCCTCTGGCAAAGAACAACAGGGCAAAGGTTTAGACTCTTATGGCATCCACAGGGGTAGTCATTCCACTTTCCTTCTGCCCTCGAGGTCGTTCTGTTGTCAATTGACTTCCCAAACATATTGACACAATCTTCATTAAAGCCTTGGTTGTTCGTTTCCCTGTCAAACCAATTCTTATACTCTCCTTCCAGTGGAGTACCGTCAATCCAACGGAACTTGGTTGCGTTAACGTTAACTCGTTCTAACCCAAGCCACGCACCAAATGGTGTGACTGTATTACCATTTTTTATAAGTTCGAATATAAATTTGTCTGCAGCGGCTGATTTGATTATTGGGAGGTCTCCACCCATAGTCCGGCATGCCTTGTGCGCGTCGCTCTGGACCTGTTGTTCTGTACCGTTCAGGTAAAAACATGAACCACCAAATGTAACCCAGCCAGATGGACATCCTTGAAGCAAAAAGAAGCAAATAATAGCGAAAGATAACTTCAAGGCAATGAAAGATGGTATCGAAGCCACAGAAATAAGATTTTTTGATAGCAACGGACCTCTGAGCAAGTAGCCTCCCTCGCAGACGTTCTTAGGGGTTCGTCACGCGTTCCTGCTCCAGGAGGGACAGGAACGTGTGACGAACCCCTAAGATTGTCTGCGTGGGAGGCTACTAAGCAAGCGACTCTTTGAAAGCTAAGGAGAAAATTTGGCCGGGAGAAGAATAGGGGATAGAAAAACTCCTCCTGTCTCCTCAATCGTTACTTTGGCTCCATCTTGAAGGGAGCTTGAAAGACGCTTCATGGAGGCGATAGTGGGGAGTTTAGGATAGCAAGAACGGCGACGGACTCGAAAACGTCCCTTAAATTATTTTAATGCAAGCCAACTCTTCTGGAGCCGAATTACTAAGAACCATATCCAAGCCAGAAAAACAAAAACTATTTTTTCGTCTCACGTGGTAGTAATTCGTCGTAGTCGTGCATTGACGGGAAAAAAATCGAAATGAACAAAAATTAAAGCGAGTTGTTGTTTTGCCTATTCAACCTTTTGTCTTTTTGCCGTTCTCGTTGTCCTCGCTGTCGTGGCGTCTTAAACTCCCTAATAGCAAAAATGTCACATGCTAAGTGCTTTCGTGTCCTTTTGAAGAAGGAAGCGTCGCGAACGGGTCGACCCGGGAGCTTGGTAACAAATATAAGAAATAAAATCAGCATTAAAACGCTTGAAGTAAGGACGTAAAAACTTTTTTTTTCATGAGAAAAGATTGAATTAATAATAATAAAACAGAAAACCCGAAAACTAAGTAAAGGCTCACTCGAGTTTACTTCGAATCTTTGTCCACTCCATGGTAGTTTGCACGAGCAGGAAAACGTTTCCCTTTTCTTGTCTAACAAACAAGATCCTCCATTTAGGCATCCAGTCATCAGGCAACCCTATAAGCAAGAAGTGCTTTATTAAAATTGAAAGCAAAATCAATCGTTTTCTTGCTTCCTTGCATCCAAAATGCACGATATTTTTAATCTTTATTCCAAGAAAGCATGTCTGCTTTCGCCAAACAATGGGTTAATGTGCGGAGAAATTCCCGGAATTTTTAAATTTAACTTCAATCGTTACTTAGCCATTCGACATAACAATAATAACACTTTCCGGTAATAAACAAGAGTCACTCCAAGCTTCGATATCGCAAACTAGTTGCGGTAAATGACAGTTAACTTCAAGCGATAGTTTACCTTTTTATATAAACAAAAAAACTGTCACGGAGATCATTTTTAACTTGATTATACCATAGTTATTTGAGGAGACTGGTTATGAAAAGCGGCAAACATCAATGATAAAAACAACAGTGCTGCAGTTTATGTTGGAAGCGCCCTGAAAGTGCACAATCCTTTGTTTTCTGTTGGCAAATTGTTACGGAATAAATTAATGCAACGTTTTTATTGGTCAATACAATCAAAATGATAGGAATTCTTTTGAACGTTGTGCACTTTCAGGTCCACAAAAACATATAACAAAGGAGTCTGACGGGTTTCATAACCATTCCACTCAATTAACTATGATTATACCTTACTAATATCAGCCGTATTCGAATTTTTATCGACCAAATGTGCCAAAAAAGAAGTTGCTTTCGCTCAATACGGGGCTAATACAAAAAACTGAGTTTCTGAGTCTGTTTAATTAAATTGTAATAATGAACGAAAGGGAAGCCTAAACACATTTTCGTCGAGAAAATCTAAAATGCGATAAAAACTAACCCGAGCTGTAAATTTGAAAAGCTTTTGTATATTCCTTGTACTTGGATTGTATAACAAATAATTGACTTCCTGCAGATATCAATGCCTAGTCTCCTTCTTTTTCAGTTTAAGTATGAAAATGAACAAGATACAAAGGCATTCCTGTCTCATCATTAGGGAGCTTGAGCAACGACGACAGCAACGGCAGGACGTCACCCAAAAAGTGAATTCGCGCTGCTTCAAACTTGTTCATCGCCCTTATTCCAACTCTTTTAATTTGTCAAATGTTGGCGATTGTTTTCAGGAGTTGAAGCCTAAGGGGCTGTAGCTAAGTTCACAAAAAGAAAAAGAAAATCGTTGTCTTGTGTTCACGTATGTCCTCCATAAAGGTGAAATTAAGAAGACTCACGTCGTAGTCGTGCAGCGACGGCAAAGAAAGGCACAAAAGAGCGTGCTGCATGTGCAAAGTTGTTGTTTTGCCAATCTAAACCTATATTGCTTTTTAGCGCCTCTCGTTGCCATCGAAGTCGTCGTTGCTTAAGCTCATGATTACGCAAACAAATACTACAATACTCACCTTAAGAATCATTGTAAATGTGTTGCCTGGTTGATAAATGAGTTTTTTGTTATCCTTAGTTGACTCCGAAGCCTTAATCAAGTCACATACTCCTTTGCTGCCACCTGTTCCGTACTTAAAATTTGTAGAGAAACACCAGGGATTCTTAAGACAAGCATGACTACACGACAGAGCACTAGCGGAATAAAGTCTTCTGGTCACTTGTGCTGCTAAACGCCTGTTTTCCGCATTTGTGAAGTAGGAAGATCTGGAAGGTTCGTCATCAGCGAAAACTGTGACAACGAGGTAGCAAAAAGTAAGTAACGAGATCATTTTGTCGCCTATACTACAACAATCGAAACGTCCTTAACTTATGGAGCCAGCGTAACGGGAATCATTATTTCGGGAGGCATTATTAATATTCGAGAATAGTACTTGGCATGAAACAAATTAAAAGAAGTTCTACTGCCGTGTTTACCTTTACTTTATTTATAAATTCACTTATTTTAATCTTTTCATTCATTTATTTGTTTACAACACACAACAACGACAAATTTCAATATTCTCTGCACGCAAATAATTGAAGGGGAGAACGTTAGTCAAAGTCACGCATTTACTGGAACGAAAACAAGAAAAGTAGAAAAATAAAACAAAAATATTAACGATGCCAGAAAATGAAATGGGAAAAAAGCTTCATCATAATACAAATTACGAAATTACGAACTAATTATGCGGTTCCCTGTCAAGGGCGGAATTGAAAGGATTACGATTGTTATGAGTGAGGTAAATAATCAAGACATACAGCAGGACCTTCAAGACTAAGCCCGGCAGAACTTTAGGAGGGTATTCTAAGATTAAACAGGTGATAAAAAACGCTTTGTTTAGATTGATAACCTGGCTGGAGCGAAGTTCACTCTGTAAATAGACTACATTTAAACTATATTGCATAGCTTTTCGTGCTGACACGAGAAGCTATCCGCTATAGTATGAACACCTATCCGATAGCCAACTATCCACTTTAGAAATAGGCCGGCTTAGCCTTGCTCTGTTACAGAAATCGCGCCGAAATAACCGTATGGTTTTCGTGTCCGCGCCAAAGCTATCCGGTATAACCATAGCCTTCTACAGGCAAATTGGAAATTCCTGGATAGGAAAATCAAAGGCTACTTAACAATTATTCCTCGAGCCCGAATGGGCTGTGAGGCAATAACCCACGAGGCCGAAGGCCGAATGGGCTATTGACTCAGAGGACATAAGTGCGAGAGGAATAATTCTATTGTTTTTAGTAAAATCCAACTGGTTGGTCAAAAATATCGAGACAAAACAACTTTAGCTAGTTAAAGCTAGACTTTAAGCCTTTTTTGCCGCCAAAAAGCCGGCGCTTTGCGCTACTAGTGGGCTATAACGTATAGCCTGTTAGTAGATCAACCAATCAAAATGTAGCATTGATAATAGACCACTAGTTGGATTTTACTAGTAGAAAATAGTAAGCACCATATGTCTCCATAAATATCTGAAATATGGATAATTTCCTAGGGGCTTTTTATAATTTGCTGGTTGGACATAATTTAACTTCTTCTCCAAAACACTTTTGCTTTGATGACTGAATCTACAGAAGTCCAAACATTCAGTGTCATACTCTCTTAATATTTGCATAACAATTTTGCGATTCAAAATTTCAATTAAAATTTTCAAAGCTGTTCATACAAACTAGTGAAGCCATTTTAGCTAAAAATTATCACAAAATGCGTCAAATGTCAGCTAGCATTCACTTCTTTGAGAGGACTGGGACGTAGATTTAGATTAGGTCTAAATTAAAAATTATTACAAGCTAAATTAAATTATTAGGTTTAAGTTTTAAAAAAATCACCACGCCAAAGTGAAATAAAAGGAGAAGTTTATTTAGTAAAACAAACTGTCAAGACTAAGGTTGCTTGTGATAATAATTGATATAGACCAATTATGTCGTTTAAATAAAATTATCCTGAAAATTCTGGTGATTTAAAGTAAAACACGCCTTTGTAACGACATGCAGTTTTACAATAACAACATGGAAATCTCAAGCGCTCATTGCTTGAAAGCTAAAATCGTCTGGTCGAGAGCAATTCTCTATGACAATTTTTACAAATTTTTATGACACTTGCCTATGACACTTTTAACGTAACAGAACGAGCTGATTATATTAAAGGTTCGGTAGCGTCCAGGTCTTTGAATGTTACTCAAGGGAATTTCAAAATTGCCTGATTTGTGTTAGTATAGGGAATAGCCTGATTTGTAGTGCTATTTGACATAAATACCACGAGTAATATTTCGAAATTGTTATACATAATTTCACGAGCCGTTAGGGAGTGAAATTTGAAATGATTTTGAAATATTACGAGTGGTATTTATGCCAAATATCACTTACAAATCATTCTATTATTTGTACATACTACTACTACCCCCAAAAGTTTTGTAATTTTCACATGTAGGTATCTCAAATTAAGCGGAAATACCACTGCTCTAAGCCAATCAAATCGCAGAAATTTTTCATGTAGTAGTATAAACAATGTTGTCCCACAGATACTGAACAGTTTCGCGTTATAGTGGAATTCTCCTTCAATTTTAGTTTTATTTCTTGACAATGCAAGACATGGGGAAAAAAGTCCACTTCTCTAATGTCTGAATGATAATCTAAAAGCTGACTCAATAAAATTAAACGCTCAATGTTACTACAGTACTCTGGAAACTGTTCGTTATGTTTACCTCTAAAATACGTCCATTATATATCTGTCTATCCACATCGTATGGATCAAATCAGCGAACAATGTACTGTGTAGTTCACAAACTATGCTATTGCTTTGGACTCTCAAATAATAACTACACTTTCAAATTTCTGATGTATTTAAACAACTGAATTGACTCCGGGGCCCAGCTCCCCGCTAGAAACAATAAGCACCATTCCAGAGCAGAAATTTTAACCTGCGACTGAACGTTCACTTCATTATAGCCCTGCTGAAAAATCATTATGGGGTTAACAAAACTAAGTCTTTAAGCAAAACCGAGCCCTGGTTACATCTTTCTAGGAGACATAGGTTGTCAAAAAATCTGGCTAGCCCGGGATGAATGCTAATTGGGTTTCGCTTAGCAAGGTATAAGAAAATTTCGTGGTCTCAAACTCGACAAAGCTCATCCACACCCATTCCCTTAGTTAGAATGTTCATTTGTTTGTTTTGCACAAATCAGTAGAGAAGTGGTTATTGGGAATCTCTAATGCAAATGCCAAAAAGCCACACAAGCTATACACACATAATAATAATGATAATAATAATAATAATAATAATAATAATAATAATAATAATAATATTAATAATAATAATAATAATAATAATAATAATAATAATAATAATAATAATAATAATAGTCATGCATTGCAGGCTACCTCAGTATTTAGGCTTCTGGCAAAGTATAACAGGACAATTTTGAAGCTTATTATAACAACTACAGGGGTAGTCATTCCACTTTCCTGGCCTCGTACTGTTGCCAGCTCGCTTTCCATACATATGGACGCAGTCTTCATTACCGCCTTGGTTGTTCGGTTCGTTGTAAAACCAGTTCTTAAACCCTCCTTCCAGTGGAGAGCTATCAATCCAATGGAATGACTTGCTTTTGTTCTTATCTCTCTCTAACCCAAGCCAGGTACCAAGTGTTGTGACTGTTTCACTGTTTCTTATCAGTTCAAACACGAATTTGTCTTCGGTTGCTGATTTGATTATTGGGAGGTGTCCATCCATTGCCTGGCATGCTTTGCGGGCGTCTGTCTGGTTCTGTGCCACTGTACCGTTTAGGTAATAACACGAGTCGCCATATGTAGACCAGCCAACTGGACAATCTGAGCGAAAAAAAAAAAACAAAGGAATAATTAAAAGTAATATGACTCCAAGCCAATGGAAAATAGAAGCTGAGATACAGTAATGTCCATATGCCTCGTTGAGTTAAGCTTTCCCGGGAAAGAGAATCATCCTCCCAACCGAGTCACTTTTAGCGAGCGTTTATATGAGAAAGAAGTTGACCCTTTGCCAGAGCCAAGAGCTGACAACAACGCTCGCGCATGCTCTGATTGTTTCGCCTTGACCGATATGACCCGGCTGGGTCGAAAAAGGCGGGTCAACCTTCTAGCCGAGCCAACGTTTTATTTCTCATGTAAAAGAATCAGCAAGTTAAAGTAGGCGAATGAAGCCTTAGTTACGGACCATTCAGTATTATAGCGAGCGTTTCTGTGAAAGCTTGGTAGAAAACTTAGTCGAGAGAAGAAGAAGAAGAGGGAAAATAACTTACCATTTTTTAATGGAACCGTTCAGACGAATTTCAATTTAGCCGTCTGAAGAATGTTATGACAACTGTTATTTCGCCTTCTTAAGGCGCCTGTGATTCACGAATCAGGGAGGCGACGTTAGCGAAAACGTAATTTATTTTGAAAGTGCTTTGGAGTTATTTTAAAACTTTCTCGCGATTGTTTAATGCTCTGCTCAAGACAGAAGGACCATTAAAAAAATCCAAGCCAGCAGCATATCCATTAGAGGCCATAATTAAGGAATTTGCCCCAACGGGTCAACCGGGGAGCTCAGTAACAAATGATAGAAACGAAACCAGCATTAAAACGCTTGAAGTAAGGACATCAAGACTTTTCTCTCATGACAAAAAAAATGAATAAATGAATAAATAAACAGAAAAACACATATGTGCAAACGCTTTGTACTAGAGGCTTACTCAATTTTTCTTCGCATCTCTGCCCACTCCATGGTAGTTTGCACGAACATGAAAACGATTCCTTTTTCGTGTCTAACAAGCAAGAACCTCCATTTAGGCATCCAGTCATCAGACAACCCTATCAGTAAAAGAAGTTTTAATTTAGAAAAATGGCAGGAAGGGAAATCGTTTTCTCGATTGCTTGTACCCTTCTAGGGGAGAAATTGCCGGAGTTTCAACTTAACTGTGATTATTTCTCAGCCATTCAGAATCATAATCATGCTTTCTGGTAATAAACACACAGCATCGAAACGGTTAAAACTGTTTACGTGTTAAATGTCACTAGCTCGTGCGGAAGTTTAAGCTTTTATTTGGATTGTATAGCAAATTGTTGTCTGCTTATAAATATTACTGTTCGACTTGTCTTTCCGTTAGATACACCAGTGAAAAAAGTTTAATAGTAAAAAATTTCTCTCACGGCATTGCGCAAATAAAATGTTGCATTTACTCACCTTAAGAATTATTGTATATGTGTTGCCTGGTTGATGTATGAGTTTGTTGTTATAGTTAGTTGAGTTGGACTCATGCTTAATCAACTCACATACTCCTGTTCCACCTGTCCCTTTCTTGAAATTTGTAGAGGAACACCAAGTATTTCTGAGGCACGCATGACTGCACGACAAAACACTAGGGGAATAAAATGTTTTGGCCACTTGTGCTGTTAAGCGCCTGTTTTCCACCGTTCTGAAGTAAGAAGATCTGGAATATTCATCAGTAGCGAAAACTGTGGCAACGATGTAAAATGACAAAGCAAGCAACCAAATCATTTTTTATCGCGTACTTCTATATCCAAAACTACCGTCGTTTATTTACGGGCATGCGCGATAGGAAGTTTCAGCGGGTATTGAAAATACTTTTGTGGTATTTGGGAGTAAACAATTTTAAATGAAAAGGAGTTGTACTGTCACCTTTCTTTGTATTTTATTTCAATCACTTATTCGAATTCAGGACAATAAAAGAAAGAGAGAAAGACAAAAGAACTACAGGTGACAAAACTACAAAAGCACGGGAAGATGCAATAGAAGTTATCATGATACGAGATCACAAAATTACAAACTAGGTTTACAGTTGTCTGTCAAGGACGATATTAAGTTTGTAAAGAATGTTATTCAAAGGTAAACAGTCAACACCGAATGATAATTCGGAACTGTAGGTGGTGTTGTAAGAGTGAACAGGTGATAGATAACGCTACGTGTGTATTAACAACATAACTAACCAGAGGGAAGGAAGCCAGATATGAAATACATAGGTATAATTATTATATGGAGGAGAGTGTTTTACTGAGAACTAAACTACTCGTAGATTCCATACGCCACTTCATCCGGGACCCGAGTGGCGTATTTTCCGTATGTCACCTTTGTGAGTGTCGTATCGTTCAATGACGTCACGATTCCCGCCTTTTGCTTTTGTTGAATTGGTTTCTCCATATAATAAAAAGAACATTACACGTTAGCTCGAAGATATGAATTTTATGTTCTCGTGGCAAGAACAATATCTCACTCGTTCGCTTCGCTCACTCGTGAGATATTGTTCTTGCCACTCGAACATAAAATTCATATCTTCTCGCCACCGTGTAATATCCTCTATCTATCGGAGGAAGGGTGCTTACCTGATTTGAGACACGGGGAAACCACTCGATCCGCTTCAGAAAAATATGGTCGTCTCTCTCTTGAATCCTTTTATTATTATTATTATTATTATTATTATTATTATTATTATTATTATTATTATTATTTTTATTATTATTATTATCATTATCATTATTATTAATATCTACGTCTGATCTGGCTACACTTTGTAGGTGTTCACTAAGGCCAATTATTGTTGGCTGGTGTCCGATGAGATTTCGAATTTAACCGAGTGTCTGTAAATGGTAAGCAGCCTGTACACTTACCAACCGGGTTGTGGATAAATCTCAGAAGGTTACAATGAATTGTGGGTTTGATCAAAATGTTATCTTCCATGGAACAAAACTTTTTAAGCATTTTTGTCACTTTGACATTGAGTTACAAAAATCCAAACATTTACTTAATACACTCTCCAAATACTTGCACGGTAATATTTGTAATACAAATATTTACAGAGCTAATCAAACAACCTAGTGGATCTAAATTAGCTGAACATTATCAAAAAATGCGCCAAAAGTCAGTTAAGATTCACTTCTGCAATATATAGAATTTGACTTGAATTTCGATTCAGAGTTTGTGGTAGGTAAAATCATCCAATTGTCGTTAGCTTAAGCAAATGGCAAGGGCAAACGCTAGTTAATAAAATACACTGTAAGCAACAAGTTTGACTTATCTTAAAATGAAAATTAACTTTTTTAGCAAACGTTTATCATAGCAAAGAAAGACCGCTGCAACTACTTGAAATAACATTGTACCAATAATTTCGTTGAATTAAAACGTTTAATGAAAATTCATAGCGGAGCTCCACGCGCGGTGCTTTGCACCGCGCGTGGGCAGAGCCCCATAGGTATGGAAATGTGGTAATCTTGGTAATCTACCCATCCGAGAAAAATTGGCAATCACGTGACCGTACACTGAGCGAGCGAACGACTGTCCGTCCGCACCACAGGCAGACCAATGTAAAATAACTCAATCAACAGGTATGGCAACCCAAATGCAACTCAAGGTTTTATTTGGAAGGAAATCACATGGCCGCCCGGACTTTTAGAAAGAAAAAACAACAACAAAGTCGTGTCTTTTTCGGCGTTATTTTTTATGTTTACACTAACGTGGATAACAGAGAAAGAGCTAGAGCGAGTTATTGAAAACAAAGGAGACGAATTTCGTAGGAAGAAGAAGATGAAAATTCAAAGCGGCGGTGAGTAAATGAGAAATGCTAGCGGCCAGCAAGGTGAAAATGAGCGGCAGTGAAAAATAAAGCGAACATGAAAACAGGAAACAAAATATTGGGTAAACACATACGACAATTCCTCCATAAAAAACATGTGTAACTAGGAAGTTTGACATTTTAGTCGTACAAAACAGCGTTGTAGGTCTTGCAAAACAACGGCAAGGGAAAGACAAAAAAGCGTGCTGCACTTGCAAATTTGTTTTTTGCTAATTAGAAGAAAAAGTGTGCTGCACGTGCAATTTGTTTTTTTGCTAATTAGATCTGTTAGCCTTGAAGCCATTTTCATTGTCGTCCCCGTTTAGCATTACACCATTTAATTTTTTTTGTTTACACGTATTATCAAGAGACTGTGCAATAATTATCAGGAGGGGGGGCTGTAAAAACTAGAGGGGGGGCATTACATAAAATTGCTGCCTAGACAGGGGGGGCTCAAAGTAAAATCACTCATTTGACGGAGGGGGGGCCTTAAGTTTTATTCGAAATGTAAATAAAATTAAACGCAATAAAAGATTCTCAATACAGGCATCATAATAGACTGTAACAAATATCAACACGAACAGCTGTTAAACGATTATTGAAAATATTCTATCAAAATGAAAAGCAAATTCACAACTGATCAATTTTAACCCGTCTTCTAATTAATTGAGCAGATCCTATGTAAAGCAAAAATCACGAACTTGTTTTTCAGCTTCCCCCATAAAACAATGGGAATCAAACAGATCTCGTAGACAAGCTTTGTCGGTGTTTGATGTGAATAAAAGTAATAAAAGCGGTTGCGACGTTATTTTTCACATAACAGAGGGGGGGTTAGAACTAATTTCTTTTGTTTTGGAGGGGAGTACTGTCTAAGTTTTTGCTAGTTAACTCTAGTTTTTCAGCCCCCCCTCCTGATAATTATTGCACAGTCCCTAACCTGAGCTTCGCTTTTAGTCCTTGCTAAATCTATATATTATTTTTTTAAAGCTAGGGACGGTTGAAAATAATTAAACAACTGCGGCTGGTAAAAGCAAAACAGTTCTTTTCGCCTTATATAAGGTAATCGAAAACAGTCTTGGATTCTGGATCCCACACGGTGAATTTCCGAATTTCAGGTACTGAATTCCCGATTCCAATTGTCAGCGGGATTCCGGATTCCGAAGCCCAGGATTCCAGATTCACAGTCAAAATTTCTCAGATTCCGGAATCCGATTTACCTTATATGAGGCTGTATACACTGCTTTGCGACAACATACAGTTTTACAATAATTACAATAAATCTTGAAATTCTCGAGCGCTCATTGCTCGGAAGTTACTTTCTAAAACTCTATTTAGACTGAAAGCATGGGAAAATGAAATTTCTTCGGTTCTTGAATAAATTTGTTAAAACCTCCGCTTTCGTCTCCGGGCCTATTGCCACCAGCTAAAAGTGTTCAGATGGAATCCATTAAGAAATTGAATAATTTAATTTTTAGAGGACTCCAATAAGAACCCTTTTTTCGGAGTTATTTCATACAACTGATTACATTTATAGCCCTTGAAAAGTGTAAAAAACAATGCAATATGCTTAAAATTATGCTGGTAAAAGGTTTTTGTTCACTGAAAATTGAAATTATTCAATTTCCTAGTGGTTTTGTCTTAAAGTAAACAAAAAACAATTTTGAGAAATGAAACTGAGTGAAATCTGTTTAAGTTGTTCTATTAAATTCGTCTTTACTTTTTAGGTCGTTCGCTGATTATTAAAGTTTGTGAATGGTCACAACGCACGATTTTCGTGCTTTTTAAATGACTTCTTTACACGTCACAATGACCATCATTTTGGAAACTTTACAGTAAGAGTGATTTTTTCTCTTCTTTAACTTATATTGGCATCACCTTTTCTTTGAAAACCTTTTTGGACCATTCATTTATTTACTCATGTAAATTGCTTTCAACGTTTGCTTCTTCAATTCCCTTGCTGACATCGTTGATTTTGTCATTCACACAAGAATTCTCTATACTGCATCAGGCAGTATAGTCCAGCTGTTATCGACCAAAAATATAGCGAATTGTTCACTTTTATGATAAAAGCATGAAACTTTACAAGATTACAACCAACTCTAAGACTAACATTTCTGGATATGGAGCCAAGCCAAATTCAACCCTGGACACGAGTTCTGCGCAGGCCCTAAAATGGCCTACATGAAAACGAGGCTGACAGTGGAAATGCTTCTAAAATACCGGTTTTTAAGTGTTTTGGTAGATAAAACTTGTAGATATCGTGGAAAAAGACATTTGTTTTGCTGTCATGTTATCTTTGGTGTCATGTGACCCTTTCCTCCAAATATGGCGAAGCCGTTGTTGGGTGTCCTGTGCTGGAGCTTTCTTCTGTGCATTTGGGCGTTTTAAGGGGTGAGAATGGGCACCGATTCACACCATTTTAAATTATAACACTCTTGCAACTATTTTCCAATTAGCAAGGGTTGGATTTCTTTCCATACAAATGTCAATTACCACATGAAAACAAGGCAAGAATCTTTTAAACTGTTTGAAGAGCCTCCAGTTAGCACTGCGTGCAGTCATTTGGGGTGGATTCAGATAACATTGTATAAAAGCTTGCACTGATCAAAAATTGTGATTGTATGGCACTCTGGCTGTTGTTTTCCATCTAAATGTAGAGCGCCGCTCCAAAACAAGGCAAAAATCCTTTTGATGATCTTAAAAGCTAGCCTCTAGTTTCTAGCCTCCACGTTCGGATACTGCATTAAGCTATTAATATTCAAATAAACGAATGAATCGTTTAGGGAATTCTCCTTTCAATTATTAACAAAGTCAGTTACAAGGTTCAGTGCTGAATCCAGGAGGTGGCCCGGCCCAAATAGCTCCCCCCCCTTAATTTTGAAGAAATGCCAATTTGATCCTTTCAAGTTGAAATTAATATTACCGGTTGTTG